TTTCCACTTTCAGCGGATGAATGTGGAAAACATCCTTCTAGTGTCAAACTCTGCACATACAGCATTCAAACAGCACACTGTAGGAACAAGAAGGAAAACTGATTTGAGTAACTTTAAGTCTGCAGGTAGGAGTAAAGGTGATGGATTTGTACTTTTATCTTTCATTAAAGTCCAAAATTTCCTTTTTTTTTAGTTTGAGCAGTTTGGACCCTGGTGTTGGCAGATCATTGGTGTTTTCTTGGTCTTTGGTGTCCATTTGATCCTTGCTGTTTTAACAATTTAGCTTGGGGTCACGTGATGAGAACTGAGCAAACTCCATACTATTCCCAAGTTGAAGAGTGAACTTTGGGGCTCCTAAGGAACTTTATTCAAACTAAAATCCCATTGCAGATGTTATGATATCTGTCCATAGTAAATACCATCAAAACAGCCATTTGTTTTTCTATTTTACACTTCGCTTAAGGTACAAAACTATGGCAGCATATTGCTGTCATGCCACAAAAACAAACACGGATCAATATCATGTTATAACGTGAAAAGTTTATTGTTGATGTTTTACACGTTATTACGACATACAAGCTTATCACGTTATGACAAGAAACTCTTCTTGTTATAAAATTGTACACTATTATCTTATTAAAGGTATTTAATAAGATAGTGTATATTGTTATTGTTATGTTTCTTGTTTTAATGTGATGTTTGTGTGTTGTGATAACGTGAAAATGTCTTGTTATAATGTGAACTTATATTGTTTATAACTTATGACACATTATATCAGTGTTATAACAGTAAGTTATCATGCTATAACAAGATAAATAGTATATTGTTATAACTAAAAAAGGTTATATATGTCGTGATAATGTGAAAATATCTAGTTATAATGTTAAAAAGATCTTGTTATAACAATAAACTTTTCACATTATTACATGATTCTGATCCCCATTTTTTTTTCTGGTGTGGCAGCAATAATCTTCTGTACAAAACACCTAAATTAGGTCAGTTTTGGTTAAAATGGAGTTGGAGTTGGAGTTAGCTAAACCAATTACAATTTTCCCTTCAGCTCATCTATTAAGTCTGGTGCCTGTGTTTGAGACTTGACTCGTTAATGAGTTCAACCTGACCTGTAAAGAACACATTTTCAAAACCTTCAGCTGGTTCATGTTGCTAAAATGACCCTTCACTAGAGCCTCTGTGTTCTGCTGGGCCTCAGATAATGTAGCATTGTGTCCACTGACCGTGCACAATTCACAGGAAAACAAGATAACCCTTCTGTCCTCGGATAAGGAACACAATCACCAGTCTGAATGACCTCTATTCTGTTCTGGACTCTGATGTCCTTGTGACGAGTTTGAACAACCTTGTTTGGCTTTTTTTGAAAGCAGAAATGTGTAGTTCCTGTAGCTATACAGCTCTTTTTCAGGCGGTAGTTAATGAGTGTTAAAGGAGAAGCAGACCTTAAAACATCACCAGTATGTGGGTGGGTTGAGTTGTACTTGCCCTGATGTAAAGTCTTGCTTCTGTGTCATTTGAAGCAATAGTGAAGCGCTGCACTCCTACTTTGTCACCACACTTTTCATTTGATGTGAATCATGTTTCTGTAACCCGCTGCACAGATCTGATTGTCTGAAGTTGGTCAACCTTCAACAAGCCACAGGCCGTCCCTCTTTGACCTCAATGCACTAACCTATCAAACCTTTAAATCTGTGAATGTACACCTCTCTTCTTCCAGACAATTACATTTAATCTTCCTTTCTCTTTACGCTCTGAAATTGTGTCTATCCTGTCTATGCAAAGCGATGCTTCAAAGAAGGGGTTTTTGAACCAAAGGTAACATAATCTGTGGCAGCTTGCGTCCAACACAATCATTGAACTGAAAAGTCATAAGAGGAAAAAGTGCTGCTGCAATAACCTGTCATATGCAAAGTATTTTAGACTTCCTTCCAAGATACAGTATACAATGTATGATAGCAATGTAATAATCTCAAATGTAAATACCTACCAATAAAACTGTTACAAATGACAGATGTTTGTGTGTGCTTTGTTGTGAAAATTTAGATGTAGGTTTTGTAATATAGGCCAGTCCTTCTTGTTTTAAAGGGGTGTAAGAAAACTTTAAAAATATACACAGTAGGCCTATAGCTCAGCATTTTATTCACTTCTGTATGGAAAACTAAATTACATTTTTTTTAAAGTTTAGATTATTATTTAAGATCTAAACTTTGAAGACCTTAACACGTGCTATATTATATTCACCGAGCCGTTCACTCTGATAAACATACATAAAATACTAATGTATTAATCACTGTTTTTGCACAACTTCTGAGTTATTGTGTTCACTGTTTGGCGTTCATTGTACATTTATAGGTTGTTCTGTACTGTTGTTTTATAGAATATAATATAAAACATCCTTAAAAGATGTCATGTGTAAAAGTAAATAAACATAAACATAAAGTATGTCATATGTTAGTTTACTCAGTGATAGAAAGGGACTAGTTGGGAACCACTGATACAGGCAATATGTACAATATACAGTGCATTTGTATTCCCTGTCTTATTATGCTGTGCCACTGCTATAGCACGAGTTACACCGCCAGGTGGCGGCAGCAGCAGTCTGTTCACTGTTATCATTCGTCAAGTTGTTAGTATTAGTCATAGGACAGAAAAAAACAATAAAAGTAATTCGCACTTTTAATTTAGCGAAGCTATTAGCTATAGCATGTTCTTGGTTGGGTTGGAGAATATGTGTCTACTGTCATTTTTAGGGCACGTGTTTGCCATTCGCTATTATATTCTGAAGGTTTTAACCGGAAGTTCTGTTTGTATGTATCAGCCAGCTTGTCGGTATACGCAGTGTTGGTTTGGTTGAGTCGAGGCAGAGCTGTCACATCTACTAGCTAACGCACTAGACACTGATATGTCAAGAGCAACCTGTCCCCTCGCAACATAGGGCTGTAACGAGTTCATCTCTTCACGTATCCACCTTTGGGTAGGGTCAGAGGATAGAAATCTGGGCGGAGAGCAGAAGAGTGAGATGAAATGACAACGTCAACATTACAGGTAGGCTACTGTTTGCTAGCTGACGTTAGCTTGCTAGCCCGTACAGCAGCTTGAGTGCGAGCTAACGTGCTAGCAGAACAGCTGACGCTAAAGCCCGCTAACGTTGTCAGCAAGCCAGTTTAGTCAACTGAGCCTGCGAACACCACTGCTTTCATTACATTGTCTTGAACATATTTAACTGCAACTGTTGTTCTAGTACTAGCTAGCAGCATAGTATACAAGCAGTGATATTGTCTAACAGCTGGCACATGAATATGCGGATTGCTAACGCTGAAGCTCTCCGGGAGGATGTAACAGTACCAGCCGCTGTCTCACTGTTAGCTGGGCTGTGGCCCCTGCCCGCACACAGTTAACACGAAGGAACCAGGACTGGCGTAACGGAACGTTTTAGTCTGGTGATTGGTTCTAAAATGGTCCAGTAGGTTTAGTTGTAGAATCAGAGAAACTAACAGGATCTAAAGGCACAACATGTCAGCTGTATAACGGTGCTTTGTTTTGATTGAAGCTCCAGTGTTGACATGTGCAGGCTGATATGAGTATGACTAGCAACATGTGTACATTCCCTGCCTCATGTCTGTGTCTCCATCCCCAATCTACCTTCCACCTGTATCTGTCCTCGGACTGTATTCCTCTGCATCTGTTGCAGAAAGCGATTGATCTTGTTACCAAAGCCACAGAGGAAGACAAGGCAAAGAATTATGAGGAGGCCTTGCGCCTGTACCAGCATGCTGTGGAATATTTCCTACATGCCATCAAATGTGAGTACTGCAGCCCGGACAGGTAGCTCATCTAGTTCAACACCCTTCTGTTGGTACATCGGTGGGTTTCACTCACATTGTCGTATGGAATTTATTTCCTTCAGATGAGGCCCACAGCGACAAGGCAAAGGAGAGTATACGAGCAAAGTGCATGCAGTACCTGGACCGAGCGGAGAAACTTAAGGACTATCTGAAAAATAAAGACAAACAGGGCAAAAAGCCCGTCAAGGAGGCACAGAGCAATGACAAGTAGGCTGCCCGTCTTCTGCCCTTTCAGAAAACATGTTCAAGTCTGTGGGCTTTGCTGTATTAGTGTTAACCTCTGTTTGTGTCTGATCTAGGAGTGATAGTGACAGCGAGGGTGAAAATCCAGAGAAGAAGAAACTGCAGGAGCAACTTATGGGTAAGTAAATGTGCATGAGAGCCGGATTATCTGATGTTTGTGTGATATTAAATCGATGTGGTCCACATTAGAATTAGTGATAGTTCCATTATCTGGCATTTTGGGATAATTGGCATTGGCTGTTGTCTGTACTCACAAGGCCAACAAACAGAAAATGTCTGCAGACACATCTGCATGCAGCGGTGTCAGTGTAGCTGCTGTGGAACAATGTTACCACTCCCCCTTGTGAGTTTTCAGAAGATGGTGAAAAAGCACTCTCATGCATCCTGTTGTAAACATATGCCTGCATTTTCTATAGAATAAAATAAAATTTGTTTTATTATATTGTTTTATTTTATTATTTATCTTTGTTTTGTTATTGGCATTATATATATCGGGCATGGCAGCCTTGCTCTTTAAATATCGGCATTAGACACTGAAAAGGCCATATCAGCCGACCACTAGTTACAGTGGATACGATACAGTTCGCCTGGTTATTGTGTATAATTGAATAACACTACACTGCTTCTAAATGGAAAGATCTTCATCTTAAGTGTTTTATAATGAGGATTTTTTTTAAATCAAAAGTAACTTTTTTATGAGTAGTAGTCTTGGTTCAGTACTACAGATGTACAATAACCTTTTAAAGGTACAGTTCAGGGTGGGGTTGTCGGTCTTAATCCTGCTCTGT